ATCCGAGGAAAAAGACTCCCACTGTCCACCCTATCTAATCCTCTGATCATCTTGTAGAATTAAGCAGTTTCGATATCTTCCCACCCCTGGCCTCATCCCATGTCCAACCCTCCCTCTTATCCCACCTCCTTGACTTGACAAACCTGTCCATCTTCTTACCCACCTATCTACCTCACCCTTCCCACTGACCAATCCCCAATACCCCTACCTGCATCCACCTATCACCATCTCACCCACCTTCCCCCATCCCCATCCCTCCTCCCTCCATTTATTTCCCAGCTCTCTTCCCCCTCTCCTATCCTAATGAAGGTTCTAGGCCTGAAACATTGACTCTCCCACTCCTTTGATGCTGCCTGGCCTGCTGTGTTCCTCCAGCTCCAAACTGTATTGAAAGTGGTAATGTGAGTTTGATTCCTTTAATGATGACTGTATTGAAACCTTTCCAAACTTTTGTCTAGTGTAATGTAATTTTTTTTGTTTAATAGACATTTTATTTCTAATGTTAAAAGTATGCCTGCAGCCTTCAGTGAATGTGTTTGATAATTGATCTCTATAGTTTATAAAAAAAAACAAAGTTAGGATCTAACAAGCCAGGTTTCACACGGGCTCTGACTCATCCAGTTTTGATAACAGTACAAAGCATCAGCAATCTGTCTCCTATTATGTTAAAATGTAGCACTCATTGACTCTTGCATTCTGAATGGAACACCTTCTGTGCCATGAGATTGAATGGAAGATGGTTGAAAAGATTCAGCTTCAGCCATGGTTTGGTTTCAGAAAGATAAGACACTCTTTCACCTGTTTCCAATTTGATATTCATACTCCTGCTATTAACATGATATCTGCAAATGCAAAATCCTTTTGTGAATCTACTGCTGCCTCTAAAAGAATACATCATGTCTTATAATATCATCTATTTCTGGGACATTTTCAAATTGGAATGGTCTGATTTTAAATTTTTGTCCAACAGATGGAAATCTCCCGGTGCTATGGCAAACCATCCTGTAATGCCTTCTATTATCTCATGCATCCTACTCAGCATTAGTAACTTAGCAGACCTGTGTCCAAGGGAGCATTTTCCCAGCACATAATGGGCATGTGACTGTGCCCCAATATTACTACTTCTGTTTATTCACTCGCAATTAGCAACACTTTGATTGACAAAGTGTCTAACCCTAACCCTAACCCTACCATGGCTGTGTAAAGAAATTTCTTTGCACATCTCCTTTAAACTTTTCTCAATCACCTTAAACCTATGCCACCTAGTATTTGACATTTCCATTCTGGGAAAAAAACTCTGACTGTCCATTCTATCCACAACTGTCATAGTTGTATACACTTTTATCAGGTTGCCCCTAAGGCCCCGATGTTCTAGCAAAAACAATCCAAGTTTGATCAACCTTTCTTTATGGTTAATACACTCCCATCCAGGTAACATTATGGTAAACCTCTTTTGCGTCCTTTCCAAAGGCTCCACATCCTTCCGATAGTGCAGCCACCAGAACTGTATACAATATTCCAAATGTGGCCTGCCTAAAGTTTTATACAGCTGCATGATGACTTTCCAATGTTTGCACTCAATGTCCCAATGGATGAAGACAAGCACACCCTATCCACTTGTGTTGCCACTTTCAGGGAGCGATAGACATGCACCCTAAGATCCCTCTGTATATCAATGCTTCTGCCATTTACTCTGTACTTTCCTCTGGTGTTTATTCTCACAATCACCTCACACTTGTCCAGATTAAACACTGTCATTTCTCCGACCAACTTTCCAACTGACATATATCCTGCTGTATTCTTTGACAACCTTCCTTACTATCCACAAAGCCACTAATTTTTGTGTTGCCTGCAAACTTATTAATCAGACCACCTACATTTTCATCTAAATCATTTATAAATATTACAAACATTGGAGTCCCAGCATTGATCCTTGCTGAACATTACTGGCTTGGCCTCCAGTCTGAAAAACACTCATTCACAACTACTCCCTGTATTCTATGACCATGCGAATTTTGTATCCAATTTGCCAGATCACCATGGATTCCATAAAAATTAATCTTCTGGACCAGCCTACCCATGAGGGACCCTGTCAATGCTTTAGTAATGTCCATGTAAATAACATCCACTGCCCTATCCTCATTAATCACCTTCATCCCTTCCTCAACAACGCAATCAAATTCATGAAACAAGATCTCCCCCACCATGCTGACTGTCTCTAATAAATCCACTCTTCTTTGAATGTGAGTAAATACTGTCCTTAAGAATCTCCTTCAATAATTTCCCTACCACCGATGTAAGGCTCACCCAGCCTATAATTTCCTGGATTATTTCTGGTGCCCTTCTTAAACAGAGGAACAACGTTAGCTACTCTTCAGTCTTCTGGGACCCCTTATCTGTGGCTAAAGAGGATACAAAGATCTCTGTCAAGGTCCCAGCAATCTCCTCCCTTGCCTTCTTAAGTATCCTGGGACAGATCCCATCAGGCCCTGGGGACTTATCTACCTTAATTTTTTTTCAAAATATCCAATACCACCTCTTTCTTAATATTGAAATGCTTCAGAATATCAACATACCCCTCTCTATACTTGCCATCTTCCACATCCTTCTCCTTTGTGAATACCAATATGAAGTACTTATTAAGGACCTTACCCACTTCCTCTGGCTCCAGGCATAAACTCCCTTCTTCGTCTTTGAGCAGATCTTTTCCCTAGTTATCGTCTTGATGCTAACATATGTATAAGATGCTTAATCTTGCTTACCAAGAACATTTCATGAACTCTTCTACCCCTAACTTATCGTTTAAGTTCTTTCCTGCTCCCATTATAGTCTTGTTATCATTTTTGTTTCTATACAATCTGAACTCCCTCTCAGGTTCCCGTCCCCTCTTTTGCATTTTGTGGATAGGATATCCGTGAGGCAATCTTGCACATTGTCAGGTAAGTAGCAGTGTTATCGCTATAACAGAACATTTTGTTTGGAATGTAACTAATTCTAGAGTGCACGTACTCAGTGTTATGGGGCAGGATGTTGTCAGGATCCACAGCCCTTTCTGTCCATATAATATTAATAACTTTCCGAGAATGAAAACACTTTTGTGAAGTTTCCTCGTACATCTAGGTGAATATTTCTGTTGCTTGTTTGCTAATTAGTGTGGATATAAAACATATGGGAAATGACATTTATTCCTAAAGGTTCAAAAACATTGACATCTATTTTTCACATTGCTGTCCATTACTTTCAGCATAAAGAAACTAAATTAACTGAATTAGATGGAGGAATGAAAGATAAGTTCTGCTGAAAAATATGATTAGAATTTTGAATATGAGCACAAGGATTTATAAGATGTTAAACCTAAATATTCGCTATTTCGAGGCATCCATGTGTCTCAATTTTGGTTGAAGTGCATTTCATACCTGCTTTGTGAGTTGCTCTTCACAGAGCTTATAAAGTACAAAGAATTTCTGAGCCAGCAACACGTTATCCAAAAATCCGACACTAGCAAGCTTGACCCTTATAATAATCTGAAACAGTTAGAATGAATTGTATTTAGAAACAAGTTTTCATCTTGGAATTAAATGAAAATATACATATAGTTACATTTTGATCAAATAAATTAAAATACAAAATTACTGAACAAGTGTGGTATAAATTTAGCCTGTTATCTATTCCCTTGTAAACACCATCTCATAACTTTCCTACACTCCATATTTATTCATCTTGCCCTTGAAGTAACTCCCCAGAGGCTGGTATTCCCTCACCAAATCACCCTTTATTTACACGTGGAAAGTCCTTGATACTGATCCAGCTCCCTCCGAGCCAGCTCTCAAGTGTAGGGAAGTCTGACACTCCTGTTTTTATCTGTCAGCCAGGGCTCCCTGATTGGACCAGATTAACAGCCACAGTCAAGGAACTCATTGTCTATAAAGGCCACCTGACTGATCTCATTACAGTCAGTACATCCCTCCCCCTCTGAGTCTGAGGACATAAGGTGATTCTTTTTCTTGCAGCTTGTCCTGGGGCATTTTAGCACTGGGTCAGGCTCTTCCATCTCTGCCTCTGATACGAGGGGTGTGTAACGCACAGTTGTTCGACTCTTGTGCCCAGAGCATCTCGGAAGAAATTCATTCACTCCCTCAGGTGGCAAAGACATCAAGGCCGCGACATCTGTCATGTCCATCCCAAATTCTGAGGTCTCTTCAATTCTTGACAGAGAGGGAGAAGCCAAGCATTTTGCCAGTCTTTCAACTGTTCCAAGGAGCCGGGCACATTTTACTCCCACCCCATTTGTGAGTTTGCAGTTTTCATATAGTCCAGCGCTTGTTCAGAACCATCGCACCTACCTGATCTTTATACATCACCGGGCCTGACCTTTCATCGGCCATTCCCATAGTTCCTACACCAAACTTCACCCCGTGCAGTAAACTACCTTTCTCACTTAGCAGAGTCTTGTGTCTGGCATTGACAGTCCTAATTCTGTTTCACCCCTGAGGCCAATAAAGCAAAGATTTCCAGACCATACCCACCATGCAGCCACAGCTGAAGCCAACACCAAAGCTGCCACATTGCCACCATATCCAGGAGTAATGGGCAGAACCCACCAAGTTGCTGACACTGAAGCTGTCGCTCAAGCTGTTACCACTTTGGTCACTGCTGAAGCCGCACCATCACTGCCATAACCGCCAGGAACAAACTGGAATCACGATGCTGCCACAGCTGTAACTGCTGCACCACCAGCAGGAAAAACGGGCCAGACCCAGCAAGTCACCGACCATGAAGCAGCAGCTGAAGCCATGACCAACATGAACATGAGGAGTGGGCATCCAGTCCCCCTCACTGCTGCCACTGTGGCAGGCTCACACAACCGCCTTCCTCCGCTGTGGCCACAGAAAAGGTGAATTTTCATACAAAAATGAAATGCAGAAACAAAAATAAGACAAGGGAGAATGCATCCAGCCAGGCTCAGGAGCCCTAACGTTTCTGATCTTGCTGCTGACATCACCTTGAAATTTTGAAGTTTTGTATCTAATGAAGCTATAGGCTGTTTCTTTAAGTTGGACTGCTCTTTCTGCCAGACCTTTAGATGATGGATAGCATAGAACTATCCTTATATGTCAAATGCCATTCGACTTTAGGAAATACTCAAATTCCCTGCTAGTAAATGATGGCCTATTATCTATGACCAGCACTTCTGGGAGTCCATGTATTGCAAAAGATGCACAATTCTTTCTATTGTCGTCCGCATGTTTGACGAATGAAGTCTATGCAAATCCAACCACTCTGAGTGGGTGCTTAGAATTACTAAGAACATTGAGCCCATGACAGGACCCGCATAGTTGATGTATAACCGAGTCCGGGGTTTACCCAGCCATTCCCATGAATGTGGGGGAGCTGCTGATGGTAAATGTTGTCCTTGTTGGTGCTCTGGGTACTTCCCGAACAATGAGGCTATGTCAGCATCCAATCCTGGCGACCAAACATAACTTCTCGCTAACTTCTTCATTTTAGAAACCCTGGATGCCCCTGGTGAAGTTCGGCCAGTGTCTGGCAGCTCCCCATAATAATATGCCACACTCAACTGTGATCCTTTTATGATTTTTGATTTTATTGACCCATGTATTTTACAGCACGAGTACAATCAAATATGGGAAAAGCTTTCATTTGCTGTCATGAAATGGCACCATTTTGAATAATTTAAGAATAAGGGAAAAAAACAAAGATAGAGCTTGAAGAAAGTCCATCAGTCCTGAGCCAGCTCATCACTGTTGATGATGACTGTGCCACCATCCCTCTTCAACTGCTTCACTGCCATCTACACCAGACTCAACCAACATTGTAGTCACTAATCCTCAGGTGCCATCTTTGCTGTTGGGCCAAGCTGGTCTCTCCAGGTCCAAAACGGTTCAATTCTGGCTCTAACGACCCCTTGGTTTCCCCCATCACCACCAGCTGTTTTGGTTTTGCCAGGACAGGATCTTTCTGCATCCAAAGTCTAATGTTGTCAGCTGTGACTAGAAGTGTGTCCAGAAAATTTAAAACCATTCCAGACTCTTCCAATGGCATAACTCCATGGCATATCTGCAGCGGGAGGCAGCTCAATGCATCCACATTCACTACTTGGCCTCCTGGATAGTGTTCCGACTTGTAATTCTATGCACTTCATATTAGAGCCCACCGCTGAATTTGGCCTGAAGTTACGGGCAGCACTGCCTTGTCCTCTTTAAGTAAATGTAGCGGGGGTTTGTGGCCCATTATTATCACAAATTTACATTTGTAAAGGTATTGGTGGAACTTTCTGATTCCAAATATGACTGCCAAACCTCCCTTCTCTATCCAGGCGTATTTACGCTTTGCATTAGCCAAAGACATGCATGCATATGAACATAGAACATAGAACATAGAACATAGAACATAGAACAGTACAACATGTACAGACCCTTCAGCCCACAATGTTGTGATGACATATTATCCTACTCTAAGATCAAACTACCCGCATACCCTACATTTTACTATCATCCATGTGCCTATCCAAGAGTCACTTAAATGTTCCTAATGTATCTGACTCCACTACCACCGCCGACAGCGCATTCTACACACCCACCACTCTCTGTGTAAAGAACCTCGTCTGACATCTCCCCTATACCTTCCTCCAATCACCTTAAAATTACGCCCCCTTGTAATAGTCATTCCTGCCCTGGGAAAAAGTCCCTGGCTCTCCCCTTTATCTATGCCTCTCATCATCTTGTATACCTCTATCAAGTCACCTCTCATTCTCTTTGCTCCAATGAGAAAAGCCCTAGCTCCCTCAATCTTTCCTCATAAGACCTGCCCTCCAGTCCAGGCAGCATCCTGGTAAATCTCCTCTGCACCCTCTCTAAAGTTTCCACATCCTTCCTATAATGAGGCAACCAGAACCGAACACAATATTCCAAGTGTGGTCTAACCAGGGTTTTATAGAGCTGCAGCATAACCTCACAGCTCTTAAACTCAATTCCCCTGCCAATGAAAGCCAACACACCATGCACCTTCTTAACAATCCTATCAACTTGGGTGGCAACTTTGAGGGATCTATGGGCATGGACCCCAAGATCCCTCTGTTCCTCCACACTGCCAACAATCCTGCCATTAACTCTGTATTCTGCATTCAAATTTGACCTTCCAAAATGATTCACTTCACACTTTTCTGGGTTGAATTCCATCTGCCACTTCTTTGCCCCACTCTGCATCCTTTCAATGTCCTGTTGCAACCTACAACAGCCCTCCATACTGTCCACAACTCCAGTAACCAGTGTGTCATTGACAAACTTATGAACCCGCCCTTCCACTTCGTCATCCAATTATAAAGATCACAAAGAGCAGAGGTCCCAGAACAGATCCCTGCGGAACACCACTGGTCACCGAGCTCCAGGTTAAATACTTTCCATCTACTACTACCCTCTGCCTTCTATTGGACAGCCAGTTTTGTATCGAGACAGTCAAATTTCCCTGAATCCCATGCCTCCTTACTTTCTGAATGACCCCACCATGGGGAACCTTATCAATGCCTTGCTAAAATCCATATACACCACATCCACTGCTCTGCCATCACATCCTCAAAGAATTCAATAAGGCTTGTGAGGCATGACCTGCCCCTCACAAAGCCATGCTGACTATTTCTAATCAAACTGTGCTTTTCCAAATATTCATAAATTCCATCTCTCAGATTCCTCTCCAATAATTTGCCCACCACAGAAGGAAGACTGACTGGTCTGTAATTCCCAGGATTATCCCTATTCCCTTTCTTGAACAAGGGAATAATATTTGTCACCCTCCAATCATCTGGTGCTACTCCAGTGGACAGTGAGGACGCAAAGATCATCGCAAAAGGTGCAGCAATCTCTTCCCTCGCTTCCTGTAGCAATCTTGGGTATATCCCATCTGGCCCAAGGGACTTTATCCTCACGTTTTTCAAAATTTCTAGCACATCCTCCTTAACATTAACCTGTTCGAGCATATCAGCCTGTCTCACACTGTCCTCACAAATGTCAAGATCCTCTCACTGGTGAATACTGAAGCTAAGTATTCATTAAGGACCACCCCTACCTCCTCCGACTCTATGCACAAGTTCCCTCCACAATCCCTGATTGGGCCCTACCCTCACTCTGGCCATCCTCTTGTTCCTCACATAAGAATAGAAAGCTTTGGGGTTTTCCTTAATCCTATCCACCAAGGGTTTCTCATACCCCTTTCTAGCTCTCCTAAGTCCATTCTTCAGTTCCTTCCTAGTTACCAATATGCTATTGGGTGTTCCTCTCCATTGGCCACCTATGAGCTAACACTATCCCAATGCCACATGGAGAGGCATTACATGTCAATACCAGATCTCGCTTGGGATCATAGTGTGTCAGCACATTAAAGATGAGAGCTGTTTCTTCACTTATCTGAAAGCTAGGGCTTGCCATTGTGACCATTTCCAAGGTTGACCCTTTTTTAGGAGTTTATGCAAAAGTACCAGGATGGAAACCAGGTTCAGTACGATCTTTCTGTATTAATTAGGAAAGACGTAGGCTCTGGTACAGACATGGGAGCCGGGGCACCTTTGAAGGCCCTCACTTGCAATGGGTGTAACCCGGTCTTGTTGACTGCATAGCCCAAGTCAGTCACTTGGGGTGCCTGGCACACACATCTTTCCCTTCTAAGGCATACGGCCACTTGGGAGAAATGTCTAAGGACTATGTTGACGTTCTCCAAGTGGTCCTTACTGGTCTTCCCTGTTGTTAGCATGTCATCTAGATAAATGGTGACCTGGGGTAGACCTTATAAAGTGTTCTCCATCATCTGCTCAAAAACTGCACTGGCTGACAATACTCCAAATGGCAGTCTTGTATATTGATACAAACCTTTATGGGTATTAATTGTAGCATACTTCTGGGAATCTTTATCTAACTGCAACTGCAAGTATGCATCGCTCATTTCCAGCTTGGTGAAGGACAGTCCCCCTGCCAGCTTTGCATATAAATCCTTAATGTGAGGGACTGAGTATTTATCCAGCTGTGAAAAGCCATTTACTGTTTGTTTAAAATCCCCAAAGAGACAAACTGATCCATCGGCCTTCACTATTGGTATAACCAGTGCTGCCCTTTCCGCAAACTGAATTAGTTTGATGATTCTTTCGCGTCCAGCCTTCTGATTTTTGCCTCTTCTTTTGCCCATAAGGCAAATAGCATTGGATGGGTCTTGCAGAATTGTGCAGTTGCTTCCTGGTTAATACACAAGGTGGCCTTGGCTCCTTGGATAGATCCTAAACCTTCCTGAAAATCTTTTTTTTTATTTATTCTTTTTGTGGGATGTCGGTGTTGCTGGCTGGCCAGCATTTATTGCCCCGTCCCAAGTTGTCCTTGAGAAAGTGGAGGTGAGCTGCCTTCTTGAGCTGCTGCCATTAGGGAGGGAATTCCAAGATTTTGACCCAGCAACAGTGAAGGAACGGCGATAAAATTTCAAGTCAGGATGGTGAGTGTTTGAAGGGGATCTTGTTCTTCTTGATGGAAGTGGTCATGGGTTTGAAAAGTGCTGTTTGAGGATTTTTGGTGAATTTCTACAATGCATCTTGTAGATAGTACACACTGCTGAGCATTGGTGGTGAAGGGAGTGAATGCTTGTGGAGGCAGTGCCAATCAAGAGGGCTGCTTGGTCCTGGATGGTGTCAAGCTTCTTGAGTTTTGTTGGGGCTGCACTCATCAGGCAAGTGGGGAGTATTCCATCACACTCCTGACTTGTGCCTTGTAGATGGTGGACAGGCTTTCGAGAGTCAGGAGGCGAGTTACTCGCTGCAGTATTCCTAGCCTCTAACCTGATCTTGTAGCAAACGTGTTTATGTAGTGAGTCCAGTTGAGTTTCCGATCAATGATAATTACCAGGATGTTGATAGCGGGGGATTCACTCATGGCAACACCATTGAATATCAAGGGGCGGTGGTTACATTGTCTCTTGTTGGTGATGGTCATAGCCTGCATTTGTGTGGTGTGAATGTTACTTGTCACTTGTCAGCCCAAGCCTGGATATTGTCCAGATCTTGTTGCATTTGGACACGGACTGCTTCAGTATCTGAGGAGTTGCGAATGGTGCTGAACATTGTGCAATCATCGGCGTACATCCCAATTTCTGACCTTATGATGGAGGGAAGGTCATTGATGAAGCAGTTGAAGATGGTTGAGCGAGGGCACTACCTTGAGGAATTCCTACAGAGATGTCCTGGAGCTGAGATGACTGACGTCCGACGACCACAACAATCTTCCTATGTATCAGAGAGTTTGCCCCCTGATACCCATTGATTCCAGTTTTGCTTGAGTTTCATGATGCCACACTTGGTCGAATGCAGCCTTGATGTCAACAGCTGTCACTCTTACCTCACCTCTGGAATTTAGCTCGTTTGAATCAAGGCTGTAATGAGGTCAGGAACTGAGTGGCCCTGGCGGAACCCAAACTGGGCAATACTGAGCAAGTTATTTCTGAGCAGGTGCTGCTTTATAGCACTGTTGATGACACCTTCCATCACTTTACTGATGATTGAGAGGAGACTGATGGGGCGGTAATTGGCTGGGTTGGATTTGTGCTGCTTTTTATGTATAGGACATACTTGGGCAATTTTCCACGTTGTCAGGTAGATACCAGTGTTGTAACCGTACTGGAGCAGTTTGGCTAGGGGAGTGGCAAGTTCTGGAGCACAAGTTTTCAGTACTATTGCTGGAATGTTGTCAGGGCCCGTAGCCTTTGCAGTATCCAGTGTCTCCAACTGTTTCTTGATATCACATGGAGTGAATTGATTTGGCTGAAGACTAGTATCTGTAATGCTGGGGACCACTCCAGGAGGCCAAGATGGATCATCCACTCAGCACTTCTGGCTGAAGATTGCTGTGAATGTTTCAGCCTTATCTTTTGCGCTGATGTGCTGGGCTCTTCCATCATTGAGGATGGGGATATTTGTGGAGCCTCCTCCTCCAGTGAGTTGTTTAATTGTCCACCACCATTCACTACTGCATGTGGCAGTACAGCAGAGCTTAAATCTGATACGTTGGTTGTGGGTCGCTTAGCTCTGTCTATCACTTGCTGCTTTCGCTGTTTGGCGTGCAAGTAGTCCTGCTTGGTATCTTCAACAGGTTGATACCTCATATTCAGGTATGCCTGGTGCTGCTCCTGGCATGCCCTCCTGCACTTTCCATTGAACCAGGTTGATCCCCTGGCTTGATGGTAATGGTTGAGTGGGGGATATGCCAGGCCATGAGGTTACAGATTGTGCTGGAGTACAATTCTGCTGCTGTTGATGGCCCACAGTGCCTCATGGATGCCCAGTCTTGAGATGCTAGATCCAACGAATTGTGTCCCATTTAGCACGGTGATAGTGCCACACAACACGTTGGAGGTTGTTCTCAATGTGAAGGTGGGACTTCGTCTCCACAAGGACTGTGCAGTGGTCACTCTTACTAATCTGTCATGGACAAATACATCTGCAGCTGTCAGATTGGATGAGGTCAAGTATGTTTTTCCCTCTTGTTGGTTCCCTCACCACCTGCTGCAGACCCAATCTAGCAAATGTGTCTTTTAGGACCCGACCAGCTCGATCAGTAGTTCTGCTGCTGAGCCACTCTTGGTGGTGGACACTGAAATCCAGAAAATCTTCTAGGTATTTAATTAGTACTTCACTCAGGCAGCCATTTTCTAATTGAAAACTGTTGAGCCAACCTAGGTGATTCTTTCTCAACCACTTTTGCTCCATCAAGCTTGGCCCAAGTTTTTTTTACTACAATCAATGGTAACTGAATCAACTGCTTCTCATAAGAGACTGGAATCGAAGTTATACCCTTAATCTATAAATGTTCCCTGGTATAGGTTCTCAGTCTAGCCCAAGTCTTGCGCAAACTTAAGGGTTGAAGTGCAGAGTGAATTTTGGTAAAGACTGCTTCTGTGATCACTGAAATGGTCGTGCCAGTCTCCACCTCTTTGAACTGGGTGATCATTTAATCAGATATTTATTTTGATTAGTTCTGATTTGGATGTTGCTAAGCAATTGAACTGTTCCAAACCAGATGTCGGTGGACTTTCCAGGCTGTGCAATCTCCTGGGTACCAGTCTCTGAGTTGTCTTATTAAATTTAGGGCTAGCAGGACTCTTTCGCTGTCCCGAGTCCGCATATTAGCATCGATTACAATGGTTTTCCAGCCTGGTTCCTGAAGAACATTTTATCCATTTGGTGAAGACTTGGCATTGCTTTGGAGTTTTGCTGTGGATTGATCTGGATTCTCTCTGTTCTGGATATGGCCTAAGTGAGGCTGTGCGATTGACTTCATTCAAGAGGTATTCCCCAAGCTCAGTCAGACTGGCAAGGGTCTCCACTTCCATTGGCATAGCTTGCAACTCATTTGCTCCACTTGCTGCATTTTCCAAAGATAAAGCCAGTTGTAGTGCTGGTCTGAAGTCCAGTCGGGCTTCAGCTAGTAGGTGGTTTTGCATGGTTACATCATTAATCCCACTCTCATCGCCACTGAAACAACTCCGCACAGAAGTCAATATCCCATCACCAAGTCACCCTTTATTTACACATGGAAGGTCCTTGATACTGATCCAGCTCCCTCAGAGCCAGCTCTCAAGAGTGTCAGGATGTCTGACACCCCTGTTTATATCTGACACTTGTGTTTTTATTTGTAAGCCAGGGATCCCTGATTGGACCAGATTAACAGCCCCAATCAAGGAACTCATATTCCATGTGGTCCATCTGGCAGACTTGTTACAATCATACAGATCTAACTTTAGTTGTGGGGAAACACTAAGGCTTGAATATTTATATTTTGGATTATATGTAACATCTCAGGTTTGAATAATGTCTCTCACCTGTCTGTCTGGTACCATCATGGCTACTGTCCTAAATTGAATTTTTAGATTTTCTGGCAGTTCTTGCCGTCCTGCATACCCAGGATTCTGTGAGGGAGGAAAAAGAGATAAAAGAAGTCTTACAATGATGTGGACAGAAAGATAACTGAAGTAGCTTGTTTAGTAAGAAATTATGAAATTACATAGAGTGCTCTAGGTAACAGTTTCATAAAGGCCTGGACAATGGTAGCAATTTATAATCGATGTCTTTGTAATGCATCACCAATATTCCGTCTGCTTGTCTAATTACTTACTGTACGTGCATATGAACAATTAGCAACTCATGTAACAGAATACCTGGATCCCTCTGTGCCATGGAGTTCAGCAATCTCTTGCTAAACAATACCTGCTTTTCTATTCTTCCTGTCAAAGTGGAGACATTTATCTTCCCTATTATACTCAATCTGTCAAATTCTTGCCCAGTCCCTTTGCAGACTCTGTATGCCATCTTAACAACTTAGTTTCTGACTTATTGTTGTGCCATCAGCAAATTCTGTTGTCATGTTCTTATTCATGGGACATAGGCATCGATGGCTAAGCCAGTGTTTAGTCTCCATTCCTAATTGCCCAGAGATGAATTAAAAGTCAATCATGTTGCCGTGGTTCTAGAGTCACAGTTTCATTTGGTAAAGCAAATGAATTTAGGTCTTACGACTGAAATAATCTCAAACTATTCTCAAACTTTAATAGGTCTGAGGACTGACTTGGTTTCAGCTGCTCATGGAATGTCACCCGGACCAGGCCGGCGCAAGAGACGAATCTGATACCCAGCCGGCATGGGAGGCCATCCTAGACCAGGCCGGCGTGGGAGGCCATCCTAGCCCAGGCCGGCATGGGAGGCAAATCCACGGGGCGAGTGCCGGACCAGAGGCCATTGTGGGGGTGGTGAGTTCTAGACTGGAGGCCGCTGCAAGGGAGGTGCGGCCCTTGTGGACTAGCAGTGAGGCCTGCAGTTTTGAAGCCCAGCACGGTCTGGAGACTTGGCCAGGTGTAGTCTGGAGGCTAGGTGCTGGTATGGACTTGGTGAAAAGGACTGTAATTTGAGTATTTTTTAAAACCTTTTTATTCTTATGCTGGACTTTTCAAGTAATTTGAGTACTTTTCAAAAACTTTTATTCCTGTGCTGGACTTTTATTTATTATTCTTTCAATTTTGTAACAAATACTTAAGTATCTGTACCTAGGCATCGTGTATCTAAGATGGCGACATAAGTGGTGACATTACAAACTTTACACTGCATGCATTCGAGTGCGCATGACAATAATGCCAATTCAAATTGTTTCCTTATACTTTCAGCTGTTAGTTATGGCATCCTCTGAGTAATTTTTCTTGCAATTTATATGAACATGTGAATAAATGAATGAGGAGTAGGAGCAGGCCACTTCCCCTCTTGGCTGATTTGATTGCAACATTGACTCTACTTTCTTGTCCACCCAATAACTTTTCACAATGTGGCTTATCAAGAATCCATCTGCTTCTGCCTTAAAAAATTCAAACAACACATTTTGAGGAAGAGAGCTTCCAAACTAGGGACCATCTGTGAGAAAAAAAATCTCCTTAATTCTGTTTTAAATGGTCAACTTCCTACTTTTAAACAGCAACCCTTAGATCAAACTTTTCCCATAAGAGGAAATATCTTTTCCACATTTAAGAATATTGTCAAGAATCCCTCAAAATCTTAACAAGATGCCTCTTACTTTTCTAAATTTCAGCAGATTAACCTGCCCAATCTTTACCCATAAGACAACCTGACCATTACTGGTACTAGTCGAAAAAAATTCTCTTAACTGCTTCCAACGCACTTACATTCTTCCATAAATAAGAGACCAACGCTATACACAACACTCTAGGTGTGGTCTCACCAATGCCTAATGTAAATTAAACCACCTTACTCTTACAGAATCATAGAATCTCTATAATGTGGAAGAATGTTATTTGCCCCATCGAACATCCCACCGTGACCCACCCCTCCTCATGGCTAATTCACCTAGAATGCGTATCCCAGGATACTATGAGCAATTTACCATGGCCAATCCACCTAACCTGCACATTTTTGGACTGAAGGAGGAAACCTGAGCATCCAAAGGAAACCCACACAGACATAGGGAGAATGTGTAAACTCTACGCAGACCTGAAGGTAGAATCGAACCTGGAACCCTAGCACTGTGATAATATATATTAATTTTCTTCTAGGAGGTAGTCATATGCTTCAGGTTAATCACTATAGATTCATTATTCAATTAATGATTTTGTTATCTTTTAAAAGTACTGAGATGAGCACTTGAAGTGTCATAACAATTAAGGCTATGAGCCTAGTGTGGCAAATTGGGACTAGTGTAGGTAGTAGTATATATTTGGTGGTACAGACCTGATGGACCAAAAAAAGACATCTCCTGTACTGTATGGTTCTATGATTCTATGAATGAAGTAAATATGGGAATTGAGCAGGTACAATTTCAGGAGACTCGATTCCTGTACTTGCCCAACAGTTATGAGGTTCCTGCATTGATAAAAGTAGGAACTGCGGGGCAAATGAACAAACTTACTGTTGGATTAAAATGTTCTGTGTTTGATTAGTTGACTCTAGTAACTGATCTACGGTCACAATTCTTAATTGGTTAAGCTTGGATGTGCTCATGAAAAATGAAATAGTGGAAGCCAAGTAGCTGCACTAATGGGTCATTTTCAAATTGGCAAGAGGTAATGAATGGTGTGGCACAGTGATTGGTGCTGAGGCCTATTTACCTTTGATGTAAATGACTTAGAACAAGGATGGAAGGTATAGTTGCCAAATTTGAAGATACCAAAAACTGTATCTGGAGTAATGTGTGCAGTATTGGTCCCTCAATTTAAAGATGGATGTTAAAGTGCTGGAGGCAGTTTCAAGATTCTTTATAGGATTAATATCTGGAATGGGGACAGGTGTTTAGTGAGGTAGGGCTAGACAGATTAGGCTTATATACACTGGAGTTTAGAAGTGTAAGAGGTTACTTGATTGAAACATATCACACCCTAAAGGTTCCTGATAGGGTAGATGTAAAGATGATGTGTCCTCATATGGGTGAATATAGAACTCAGAGTCAACCATTTAAAGCAAGCCACGTGCATTTTTTTCTCTCTCAGAAGGCTATGTGTCTTTGGAACGACCTTCCTGAAAAGGTGGTGCAAGCAGAGTCCCTGAATATTTTTAAGGCTGAGGTAGATAGCTTCTTGTAAAGCTAGGGGTGAAAGGTTATCAGGGGTAGGTGAGCATGCAGGCTTGAGTTTACAATGAGATCAAACATGATCTTATTGAATTACATAGCGGGCTTAAGGAGCTGAATGGCCTATTCCTGGTCCAAGAGTCTCTCTAATATTGTTGATTGTCATTGCTTGGCATTTGTCTGGCATGTGTTTTGTTAATTATCAATCCAAATCAAAATATTATCCAATTCTTAGAGCATGCAGTGCAGACTGCTTTACTATCTGAGGCTGAGTATGATGAAACTGACAACAAACGAATGAATGACAACAAACTGAGGTGGGCTTTGATCACCCTCCACCGTTCAACAAGATCATAGTAGATCTATTTCATTAACATCTTCACACACAACCCCTTTGTGTTGAACATACGAAATAACAAAGCCAAGATCTACTTTGTCATTTTGAATCACATTATGCTAGCTACGTTAAGTCTGTTTTTATTTCACAGATGCTGCTGAGATTTCACAGTATATTCTGCCTTCACTTCAAAATCTATCTCATTTAGACCGAGCAAAGAAAACTCATTCAAGCATATTTCAGCATTTCAACTTGCCATTCACTTTCTTACCATTGTGATAAAAATACCAAACTCTGGATTCAATGACACATTATCTCCATCAGTGAAGATAAATTGTTTCTTTCTTTCTTTCCTTGCCATGAGAATAATATAAATCTGTTGAGCTGCTACAGATAAAACAGGCAGCTCAATTCGATTGAATTCATCAAAGCAACCCCAGGAACCAGATTGTGCCAAACCTGAAAAATATAGAACATTATAGTTACTATTGTTAATATTGCAAAATAAAATTAGTCGATAAAATTTTGTAGCTAGTCACTCATCAATACCTTTTAATTAGTTCCATCTGATCATTTCAAGTTGGCTGTTCATGATATATGGAAATGATCACAACAAAAACAACAGCAACTTGCATTTAAATAGCACCATTAATCTAGTAAAATACGTCAAGATGCTTCACAAGTACATTATCAAACAAAATGTGATGGGAAATTTTGAGAAACATCTCTGAGGAGTGAGTGGTAAAAGTGAAAAGGTTTGAGGGAAAGAATTTCCAAGCTTAGGACCATTTGCAATCATACAAAGAGTTATAAGTTGAGAGGCAGTCAAATATGGTGATGCTGAAGGCTTATAATTGTAGTAAACTTGAAGGACTGTAAGTTGGAGGAAACTTCAGCAAGTGGAGAGGAATGGAAAGTTTCAAAATCAAGCTTTACTGAACCAGGAGCTAATGTAGGTCAGTAAGGAAAGAGATAATGAATGCATGGCACTTGGTATATATTTGGGCATAAGCAACAGAGTTTTGGGTAAGCTCAACACTATGGAGGATGTAAGGTGGAGTGGTTTTGGCAATGGAAAGGATTCCTTATTGTTACCCATTCAGGGCATGTGGCCATCAATGACAGGGCCAACATGTATTGCCCATTGAAATTCTGTAATCTATTTTGCGTCGGTGGAACAATGACAATGTTGTTAAGCAGGAAGTTCCAGGATTTTGACCCAACAGCATTGAAGAAACAGTGACATATTTCCCAGTCTGAATGGTTAATGGTTTGGAGGGGAAATTGCAGATGGCGGTGTTCCCATGTATCTGTTGCCCCTGTCCTTCTGGATGGAAGTGGTTAAGGGATTGGAAAGTGCTCTCGGCAAAGCAATGGCAAATTTCTGCAGTGCATCTTATAAATGGTACATGCTGCTGCTACAGAGTGTTCGGGGTAGAGGGAGTGTATGTTAATGCAAAAATTGCCAATCAAGTGGAATGTGTTACTCTGAATGGTGTCAAGTTTTGTGAGTGTCATTGGGGGAGATCAGGACCTCTGTTTAAAGGCAAATTGGAAGGAAACGTCATACTTTTGCCTCGGCCTGAGGTAATATAAATAGGAGGGAGAGGATATATAATAATGGAACTAGGAAAGGATAGTCCTATCACCTGAAAAGAGTGGAGATGAGATAAATGTGCAGTCAACTGCATCCAGGGCTGTAAATAAATCAAGTAGGATGAGAAGATTAAAAACACTACTTCTTAATGTAGAGGAGGCATTGTGATCAAATATACCATATTGTTGAAAAAAGACACATTGTGCGAAAACGTTCCATCTTGCATTCCTCAAGACAATTCTAGGCCCGAAACGTCAGCCTTCCTGCTCCTATGATGCTGCTTGGCCTGCTGTGTTCATCCAGCTGTACACCTTGTTATCTCAATTTTTGATCGGTGCTGGGTCTACTTTTGTTTGTCATTTATATAAACGATTTAGATGAGAATATAGAAAGCTCAGTTAGTAAGTTTGTGGATGACACTAAGATTGGTGGTATAGTGGGCACTGAAGAAGGATTTTCAAGATTACAGAGAGATCTTGATCAATTGGGTCAATGGGCTGAAGAGTGGCAGATGGAGTTTAATTTGGATAAATGCAAGGGGTTGCATTCTGGTAAAACAAACAAAGGCAAGACTTATTCAATTATAGGCGGGGCTTGGGTAGTGTTATAGAACAGAGAGACCTAGGGATTTAGGTATATAATTCTTTGAAGTTTGCATCACATAAAAATAGCATGGTTAAGATGGCGTTTAGCACACTTGCCTTCATTGCTTTGAGTATGGGAGTTGGGACATTATGTTGAGGTTATACATGACATTGGTGAGGTTTCTTCTGGAGTACTCTGTCCAGTTCTGGTTACCCCGTTATAGGAAGGATATTATTAAGATGGAGAGGGTTCAGAAAAGATCTACCAGGATTTTGCTGGGAATAGAGGGTTTAAGTTATAAGGAGAGGCCATATAGGCTTGGAACTTTTTCCACTGGATCATAGGAGATTGAGAGGTGATCTTATAGAGATTTAGAAAATCATGAGGCGAGTAGATAAGGTGAATGGCAGGTGTCTTTTCCCTAGGGTGGGGGAATTTCAAGACTAACGGGCATATTTTTAAGGTGAGAGGACAAAGATTTTAAAAAGACAGGAGGTGATTGTTTTTTTCTACACAGAGAGTGGTTCATTTGTGGAATGAACTTCCAGAGGGAGTGGTGGATGCAGCTACAGATAAAACATTTAAAAGGTTTTTGATAAGTACATGAATAAGAAGTGTTTGGATGGATATGGGCTAAGCACAGGCAGGTGGAACTAGTTTAGTTTGGGATTATGGTAGGCATGGATTGGTTGGACTGAAGGTCTGTCTCCGTGCTGTATGAGTCTATGACTCTATTAAAAATACCAAGTTAAGAGGAAAATCAACATTTATACAACATTTGTACAACAATTATACTCTATGAGGGGAAAGTGTTGATTGGTCGTCAAGTGGATTGCAATTATTTTGGAAGTTACACAAGTTAATGTTGATGGACAGCTAACTGCAGGCTTTGTTTAAATTTTAAACCAGACAAATTGTTTCTGATTAGTCAAGGGATAGCCCTGAGAAATGAACTGATGGATAATATTGTTACAGAGATAGTAGGAACTGCTGATGCTGGAGAATCTGAGATAACAAGGTATAGAGCTGGATGAACACAGCAGGCCAAGCAGCATCAGAGAAGCAGGAAAGCTGACGCTTCGGGTCGAGACCCTTCTTCAGAAAAATGATGGATAATATCACCTATTTTGTTGAGTGAAAACAGGAGCAGTGTCTGAACATGCTCTTTTTACCTGCAAAGAATACAGTCCTGTGTATTAATCTATACAGTATTTAATATACATAAGTGCTACACAGCGAGCCTGAGTGACATAGCAACAGACTCTCTGAACCCATCTTAAATTAGTTGTCAGTGTAATTCTTAGGACTATCTCCAGCAATGCTCAGTGAATCCAAGATGAAAAGATTCGATAAATAGATCCTTTTTCATCCGTTCTCAAGTTGTGTACTACCAGTTGACCATAAGCCATAAGACACTAATTGGTGGTATAGTGGACAGTGAAGAAGGTTACCGAAGAGTACAACAGGATGTTGATCATTTGGGCCAGCGGGTCAAGGAATGGCAGATGGAGTTTAATGCAGAAAAATACGAGGAGTTACATTTTAGGAAGACAAACAAAGGCAGGACGAACACAACTTAATGGTAGGGCTCTGAGGAGTGTTGTCGAATAGAGAGATCTAGGATTGCAGGCACATAGTACCATGAAAGTGGCATCACTGGTAGATAGGTGGTGAATAAGGTGTTTTGCATGCTTGCCATCACAGGTCAGAGCAAAGAGTACAGGAGTTGGAATTGCAGTTACAGCTATACAAGACCACATTTGGACCAATGCATATAATTCTGGTCGTCCTGGTATAGGAAGGATATTATTAAATCAGAAAGGGTGCAAAGAAGATTTACAAGGATGTTTCCAAGACTGGAAGGTTTGAATTGTAAGGAGAGGCTGGGATTTTTTTTCTCCCGGGAGCATAGGAGGCTGAGGGGTGACCTTACAGAGGTTTATAAAATCATGAGGAGCATGGATAAGGTGAATAGCCAAGATATTTTCGCCAGGGTAGTTAAGTCCAAAACTAGAGGGCATAGGTTTTAGGTGAGAGGGGAAATATTTAAAAGAGACCTAAAGGCCAACTGTTTCTTACAGAGGTCAGTGCGTATGTGGAATGAACTGCTAGAGGAAGTGGTAGAGATGGATACCATTACAAAATTTAGAACACATTTGGACAGGTATATGGATAAGAAAGGTTTAGAGGGATATGGGACAAACACAGGCAAATGGGACTATTTCAGTTTAGGAAATGAGGTTTGCAGGAATGAATTGGGCTGAAAGGCCTGTTTCCATGCTGTATGAATCTATGACTCTATGAATCTCATTGGGATGTAGTCCAAAGATAAAAGAGAAACCTTCTTGACTGAGGTGAGGAGAAATGTTGTCACTCGGAGTTGTGAATCTTCACATTCTCTAACTCAGAAGGCTGTGGATATTCAATTGTGGAACATAAATAAGACTGAGATTGATAGAACTGTAGACTCTAAGTGACTTAAATTAACTGCACAAAGTCTGGTATCCCATCACTAAGTCATCCTTTGCTTGTGCACAGTACACTGGCTATGGCCAGCCAGCTTGGAGTCAGTAACCTGAGCTGAGGAGGTTCTAAATCTCCTGTTTATAATTTTTTTCCAAACCCCTACACTACTGTCATACACAGCAGTGCTTTTCTTCCCCAGCACCCTTGTTGTTTTGCATATGCAGGTGTGAGACACAGTCAAAAACACCAGGTGCACAAATAACTTTATTAACATGCCGTCACCAGGAAAAACACCCATGTGACCAAAGAATAATTATCAAGCAGATCCCCGAGGGGCACCGCCTACATGAAAGGAAAAGTAAGGGAGAGGGTAGGGATCAAATCCAAATAGAGTTTGTGGAGGAAATAAACCTCGCAGTGTCCACCTCTCCCGAAAGGCATCGAGAGTGGTGGTGCACACCACCTGCTCCTTCTCCAGGGACACCTGGGCACTGACATAGCCACAGAAAAGGGACAGGCAGTCAACCATAACAACCCCCTCCACAGCTCTCTCCTGGTTATATTGGTCAGCCAGGGCTTTCCTGATTGGTCCAGGATAACAGCCCCAATCAAGGATCTCATAGTCAACAAGATCCAGCTGGTTCCAATCACTACAGGACCCGTTGGTGGGAAAGGAGTTGAGGATGAGCCACAATTTACATGAACTGTGGAGTAGGTTTAAGACTCCATACAGCCTATTCCTACTCCTACTCATAATGTTCTTATCCTGTGATGATTACATGGGCTGCTGCCTTCACTTTAAATATGGTGAAGTTCTTTTGCACTTTAATATACAATTACCTTTGTAGATTCTTCCTAATCCTCTGAAATCCATTTGGTCAGAGCAATTAAACACAACTACGTATTTTCCAAGAGCTTTGCCCATGTCCTTCACAGTCTCTGTTTTGCCTGTACCAGCAGGTCCAGCTGGAGCCGCCCCCATATTCATCCACAAAGCTTGAGCTAGAGTGATATAGCACCTACAATTAGAACAAAACACAGCGATTTACCATTATCAACGTAATTCCTGAAAGCAATGTCTATTTTTTAACAAAGGACAAATTAAGCTAAAGGCTGTCAAAGGAATTCATAGTTTAGATTGCAGGAATTTGTGTCATAATTATTAAATCTACTTTAAATCTCTAAGCAGAGAAATTGAAATATAGTCCAAACAACACCTTTGCTGAAGAAGGAATGAGCAGGATAAAATTGAACCAGCTAATCTATAGCAGTTACAGCTAGATTTTTGAGGCACAATTTTAGGGGACCATGCAAACAGGATAGTGAAAGGGGTCCATCACATTCTGCACATGTGTCTTCCTATGTAAGAGTAAATTCACAAACTACAATGGGAAAGAACCCAGTTGAGTTCTTATTTGGATGCTAAGTATATCCTAAGATGCCAGGGCAGAAGCACATCAGTGTTGATCAGCAAATAATGTAGCTGACAGGAAGGGTACTGCAAAGCTTGAAGCAGACCACAGAATGGAAGCTGGACAGTCTGATGTAATGTCAGGTGATGAGATATTGCTGACCTGGGTGAGTCTGAATAAGATGGAGGCACTATTTCATTCCAAACCAAACATTGCCATCACCAAGCAGGGAAACAATGTAACTGCAGTCATCAGAAGCAGTACTGTTTTCTTCATGAGCCAAAAAGAATCACAATTACAAAAATACTACAACAGCAGAGAAATGAGAATTAGGAACTAAGATAAAATCGACTTTCAAAGGCCCAGAAATCCAAGCCAGTGAGGCTAATGAGATGTGGACAGTTTCTTAACCAGAGGGAAAACGCATTGTAAAAAGTGAGGATTACAGATCTCAGCATCTCCTCTGGAGCCAAAGCTCTGGAAACAACAAACAAACTACAATGTGAAAGAATACCCAGAAACAATATTGAAAAGAAAAAGGCGATACGCAAAACACTGTCTTTGACAGATTGTTTTTACTTTTTGTTCATTGGGTATAAGAATCTGAAGTATCATGTTGGACTTAAAATATTGACTGTTTCTCTCTCCACAGATATTGTCAAACCCGTTGAATTTTCCAGCATTTACTGTTTGTATTACCAAAGGTGATGAACTGGTATGAAATTGCTAGGCCTACCTTTACATCCTGTTTAGAATAAAGGAAATGTTTGGAATCCTCTGGCACCACCTCCAAATCTAGGGAAGATTGACACTTTATGGCCAGTGCCCCTGTAATTTTCAATTTCACTTCCTTCAACATTGTTGGATGCATTTCAGCTGGTCCCAGCATTTTATTATATTTAAGTACTGATAAAATATCTAATATTTACCCCTTGCCAATTTTAACCGCTTCTGGTGACTGAGTTTTGTCTTTTGTCACCATGGTTTGGGCAGCATTTGCATCACATGTAAAGATAGATGCAGAATATTCATTTAATACCTCAGCCATACCTCTTGCTTTGATTTGTAAATCTCCTTTTTCATCCATAATCAATCTTAATCCTTCTTTTACCACCCTTTTACCATTCATGTTCTTACAGTTATACTAACAGTCAGTTTTTTTTCTGATAATCCTGCTTCGTTTCTCATCTAAGCCTTCCATATTCAGTTTGGTTCTCAATTGTATTTACTACTTGATATCTGCACTTTTTCTTCTTTAATTTAATTTCTATGCATTTGTTATCCAGAGAGGTCTGGATTTGCTTGTACCATCTTGCCCTTTTGAAGGAATGTACCTTGACTGTGTCCAAACATCCCCTCTTTTGAAGGTAGCACATTGTTTAGCTATTGTTTCTTCACGCCAACCTTTGGTTCCAATTTATTCAGCATTTTTCAGTTCTTGCCTCAATAAAATTGGCTCTCTGCCAATTGGTTGTTCTTTTTCTGGATTGACTAATGTTATTTTATGCCATCATTTGAAACCTTATGATATAATTATCACTGTCTCCTAAATGTTACCCCAATATCATTTGATCTACTTAGCCCACTTCATTCACAACAACCAAGTGCAACCTTTCTTGTTGGGTTGGACACATATCGATGTAGGAAATTCTCCTGAACACAATCCTAGCTCTCACTACTCTTTACACTACCATTATACCAGGTGATATACAGGTTATTACTAAAGTCACCATTATAACTACTCCATGGTATTTATATATAACATAAAGCAAAGTAGTTGTGCCCTTCTTATTTCTTTGTTAAAGCCAAATTGATTCTGTCCTTGAATTCTCTGAAATATTCTTCTTCTCCAGTCTGCAATGCTTTCCTTAAACAAAATCTCCATTCCACTAACATTTTCTTTCCTTTCCTATCTTTTCCGAACATCTTATAATCAGAAATCTGCCCTTCCTTAAACCAGGTCTCTATTATCAATACAACATTATAATCATACAAGGCAATCTGTGCCTGTAACTCCACAATCTTATTATATATGTTATGCATTCACGTACTTGGACTGCAGCCTTAATAACAGAGGTGGGGGAGTCATGGTGGCTCAGTGGTTAGCACTGCTGCCTCACAGCACCAGGACATAGGTACAATTCCAGCCTCAGGCAACTGTCTGTGTGGAGTCTGCACATTCTCCCCGTGTCTGCATGTGTTTTCTCCAGGTGCTCTGGTTTCCTCCCACAGTCCAAAGATGCGCAGGTTAAATGGATTAGCCATGTGAAATGCAGAGTTACAGGCATAGGGCATGGGTTTGGTTGGGATGTTCTTCAGAGAGTCAGTGTGTGGACTTTTTGGGCCAAATGGCCTGTTTCTGCACCTATTAAATTACTATTATTACTTTAAAACAAAGAACAACAAAACAGTACAGCACAGGAATAGGCCTTTTGGCCTACCAAAACTGCACTGGTACATGATGCCTTTCTAAACTAAAAACCTTTTGCCTCTACGCTGTCCATATGTCTCTATTCCCTGCCTATTCACATATCTGTCAAGATGTCTCTTAAACATTACTATTGTATCTGGCTTCACTATCTGCTCTGGCAGTGCATTCCAGGCACATACCATTCGCTGTGTTACAAGCCTACCTCTCATATTTACTTTAAACTTGCTCCTTTTTCCTGAAAGCTATGTCCACCAGTAATTGATATTTCTACCCAGGGGAAAAAGATTTTGACTATCCATTCTATCCATGCCTCTCATAATTTGTAAACCTCTATCAGGTCGCCTCTTATTCTTTGACATTCAAGTGAGAACAAATCAGGTTTGTCCAATCTCTCTTAATAGCTAACACCCTCCAAACCAGGTTTCAGGTAAAAGGGGATAAGTTTAAAGGAGGTTTGAGAGGCAGGTGTTTTGTCCCCAGAGGGTGGTATATGCTGCGATGAGCTGCCAGAGGAGGTGGTGAAGGCAGATGCAATAGCAACAGTTAAGAGGCATCTTGACAGATATATGGACAGGCAGAGAATAGAAGGAGATGGACAGCACAGAGGCAAAAGGCTTTTGTTTAGAAAAGCTTTATCTGCCAGCGCAGTCTTGGTGGGCCGAAGGACCTGTTCCTGTGTTGTATTGTTCTTAAGTTTACTTACATAATTTATTACGATAACAGTTGTCAGTATTCATCCGTGCAATGCAAAAAAATCATGGAAATAGTTTTGCTCTGATAGGGAGGGATGCTAATGTGATGGCTAGAATATTTGGATACAATATGGTACTTCAAATGAAAATTGAAGCGTACTCAGTTAAATATCAAAGTCAGTACATTCTTTTTTGTAATGTGTCCTTGGGATGCGGACTGAACATCACATGAACTGTTACAGTTCTTGCATGTAAGGGTGGTTGAAAGCAGTCCCTATGAAAGCTTTCATAACAAAAACAGAAATTGCTGGAGAAACTGAGCAGGTCTGGCACATCTGTGTAGAGAAAGCAGGATTCCATTTTGGGCCCAATGACCCTTCTTCAGAACAGTATTACCTACATTTCCCTGCTTTCACTCCACTGATGCTGCCAAACCTGTTGAGTTTCTCTAGCAATTTCTGTGTTTCTTTCAGATTTCAAACATCTGCAGTTCTTTCTTTTATTTTGAGGCTTTATTAATCTTAAAAAAGAGGTTGACTTTAAGTAAACAAAGCAGAGAGAAACAGAGAGATTGTTGTTGTTTTTGGTTTATTACTTAATTAGTTATTCACACACCTGTTGAATTTTGCAAAATGACATCCCACCAAGAATTAGCCCATGAATTTGGTAAATATCCTCCACCAAAATAATGAGGGAAAAAGGTTTGCAGACATTAAGCTGCAAGGTTATACTCGATAGAACTGGCAAGGTACAATGGTGTACTGGAGAAAGGTCAGCCTTCTGCAAACATTGTAGCACTGCAAAGGCCTTCATGTAAGTGGCTCAGAACTTGGTTTGGAGAAACAACGCAATTCAGGTCCATGGTCAGGTCAGTGGTATTGGTCAGGCAGCTTAAATTAAATGGGTTGAAATCTGGGGGTTAAGGCTTTGGGCTAAGTAACAAGAGGAAAATCAAGTCTATAAATTGCTATAACTTTTTAAGCTAATTATTACAGGAAAAATGTTTCTAAAATGTCCAAAGATCACCTGTCTGTTAAAGGTGTGATTACAAGTCGATCAGTGCAGCCCAGAAATTCATTCTGATAGATAAATTCCACATCAGTGATCCTCACTTTTATTTCTTGTATGTCATCGTTGAAATAAAATCGACTTTGTTTCAACCATTCAAAGTCACTTACTGTTCTGATATGCATTTTTACCTGTGAAGGAAAACAGAACAGAAAGTGTTGTATTTGCAGGTATATGTGTACATCAGGAAATATAAATAATGTCATGACGATGGGTCAGAACCCCAAAGTATTTATTGACAATTTTTTTTTACTTTTAATTCCAAAATGTGTTGCTTTTAAAGGAGGACTGCTACAGGATAACCTGAGGATTTAAATTCTCCGTCTGGCAAAGTCGTGTGTGAATTCAATGAAATGTCACACATGTAAGTTATCAGGGAAATTTCAAAAAAACTTAATAAAAGATAATGAGGGGTTAATGATCCCCTGCTCAAAGGTAAGCCACTCACTGCAGATTGTGTCCCAAACTCCAGGCACATTTTGTATTTTGTATTTTTACACACTCTATTAATCCAAGAAAACATAAATTCACTTGAGTCTGGGCAAAAGGTATTCACAGGGAAAGAAATCCTTGTTAAATTAACCTTATTGCAATCGAGCAGGGTCACGGGTGAATAAAGAAGGGGAATCTGTGCATCTCTCCTCATGCAGGAGTTTAACAGTTTAGGGTATCCGGCTTGGAACTGTAAAGAATTAGGGACCATCACCTGGGATCTGGTCGTAACAAAAACAGAAAATAATGCATTTCTTTAAAATAAAACATAATTTATACATGATTCAAGGTAAACATAATTTACAAGTTCAGAATTGCTACTTGTAGAGAGCCTAATTTACCATTTGAGAATAGGCTTCTACGAAGTTTAATGTTAACAATAATGCAATATCTACTATCATCCTTTTTAACATCATTCTTTTGCCAGCAAAAAAGAAAATTGGAATTTTAATGAATGTGGCAACAATGCAATGAAGGAACTTAAGTGAGTTTTTTTTTCTCATTTGTGGATTTGAACATCATTGGCATGGCCAATTTATTGACAATCCAAAGCCATTCTTGAGGAGGTATTGGCAACTGTCATCTTGAATATAACAAGGTGGTTTTCTGGGCCATTATATTGGTCCTGGTACGGGATCACAAATAACCAAATCAGGTCAGAACAGCAGACCTTCTTCCTTAATGACTATGAAAGAGGCGAATGGATTTTAAGGATAAAGTTGTAATTTAGTGGCTATCATTGCAGACAATGGGTATTGCATTTCAGCTTGCTTTCATTAACTGAATTTAAATTCTCTAATAGCTCTGGAGAAATTAGAACTTTGAAGCATTTATCTAAATTACTGGATTGTTAATCTATGGACATAGGTTCGGTCGCACAGAAGCTATCAGTAAGTGATCTTTTACAAGGAATCAAGTTGTATGAGGAAAGATCTGAATCAAATCCAAGACCCCCTGGGGACCTGCTTAAATTTGTGCAAGTCCTCCCCAAATTTGATGAAATGGATGCAAAGGCATTTTTTCAATTTTTTCAAAGGTACCTTGCAGATGAAGCAAACCAAAGAAAACTCGAAATTGCTCATTCAAAACATGTTGATTGGCGGAGTTTATGAGGTTTATGCTTTTCTTTCTGAGGAGGCTTGCAGATTATGAAATGCCAAAAGGCTATTTTGGTGCATACATTGCTACTTGAAGATTGCAGGTGGACATTTTGGAATATCCAGAACATCCAGAAGCTGCCAAGGTAGACTTATATAGAATTTGAGAGGGTAAAGCAAGGGTAAATTTCAGCATTGAATGCAGACATTAAAAGATAAATACTACATATAAGACCTTTCGGGAAATTATTATCTTGAAAGAATTTGAAAATTTATTCCTTCCATGAGTACAATTTCACATAGAAAACCAGAAGATTGCAACAGCAAGACAGGCAATTGAGATAGCTGGTCCACAAATATAAATCTATTTCTGGCATTGTCCCAAACCGAAGATGGATAGAAGGTGGAAGGGTAAAGGAAGGCAAGTGTTCCACAGTTTCCTGCTGTATATAGAAAGGAAGATGCCATGTGTGGGAGTGATGTTTGAAGGCATAAGTGTCTCCAATATCACAAGGTGGAACATGTTCATGCTGATTGCTGTAAGTTGCAGAATATCAGGGTGTACAAGATCAGGACAGCGCAAGGAGCCCTGACTGAGAACATAACAGAGCAGGTTGTAGCTCTGGGACAACTACTGCAGCTGGGAGACCAATTATAATCACTGCTGTGAGTGCAAAGTTAGAGAAGCGAAAGTAAAAAATCCCATCAAATTCTTGTCAAAAGGAAAAGTAAGTCCTTGTTCCTGAAATGAGGCAAGTAAACGTATAGTCATACTCAGACAGGAGCCACTCAAACTTTTTTGTGGGGAAAGGCATGACTTTTCCGTTAGAAGGTGACATAAATACCAAAGTTTCAGGAATTTTCTTTTGTTCATCAAGAGGATGTGGCTGTTGCTGATTAGCCCAGCGTTAGCAGGGAGTGGAAAGCTCTACCTTTCTATCAGATGCACCTGGAGTGTTGCCTACGTCTGGAATGGTAACTCTGTGTTGTCCACATTTTACCTATGGACAAATTGACTTGCTTCAAGAGGATGATTTGGCAGGTAAGCTTCTCCAATAATCACAGAAAGGCCAAGTCAATTCAAGGAAACAGAGGAACTTCCAGAGTGTCATTTTGTTAAAGATGAGATTCTGATGAGGAAGTGGAGAGTCCCAGACTTTCAGATGAAGAGTGAATGGTGGTTCATCATATTGAGATACTGTCAAAATATCATCATAAAATATTAAGGATTGCTCAAGAAATTCTGATGGTGGGACATGTCAGAAGAACAGAAGAAATTGACATTCTTGTCGGACTGGTCTTCATTTAGATATGATACAATTTTGGAAAACTTGCCAAATATGCCAGAAGGTAGGACCATAGGATCACAGGAGCAAAATTGGGCCATTTGATTGATTGAGTCAGTCCACCATATGATCGTGGCTGATATATTTCTCAACCCTATCTCCTGCCTTCTCCCTGCAACTCTTGATCCTCATACTAATCAAGAACCTATCTATCTCTGTCTTAAATACACTCAATGGCTCGGCCTCCACAGCCTTTTCCAGCAATGAATTCCACAGATTAACAATCCTCCATCTGAAGAAATTCCTCGTTATCTCAGTTCTAAACAGTTGTCCCTTCACTCTGAGGCTGTGTCCTTCGGTGCTAGACTCTCCTGTCTAAAAATCAAGTTAGAATTAGGTTTATTGTCACATGTTCTCAGTCACAGGGATACATGATTACAGTGAAAAGTGTCCAAAGTTGCCATATCCAACACCATCTTAGGTACAAAGAGATATCTAAGTACAAAGTCTGAGGTATAAGTTAGAAAAATAAAGAAATAAAGATAAAAGTTCAGCATTACAGACTTTCAAAAGCAGGAAGTCCATGTTGGGCTTCACCTTGAGGCCGGGAGTCCATGCTGGGCTTCCTTGAGCCCGAGAGTCTGTGCTGGGCTTCCTCAAGGCCAGAAGTCCATGCTGGGCTTCCTCGAGGCCAGAAGTCCATGCTGGGCTTCCTCAAGGCCAGGAGTCCATGCTGGGCTTCCTCAAGGCCAGGAGTCCGTGCTGGGCTTCCTCGAGGCCAGGAGTCTGTGCTGGGCTTCCTCGAGGCCAAGAGTCCGTGCTGGGCTTCCTCGAGGCCAGGAGTCCATCGATTCTGCGCTGGCTCAACTCTCCACCATCTATGCCGTGCAATGAATAGAGGTAAATAGACAGAAAAAAAAGATAGAGGGACAAAGAAATCACAATAAGAGGAAGAAGAAGAAAAGAAACAGACGGAGTTGATATGCTTCAGCTTAGGAGCCTACTTTGCTGCCATCACTGTGGAGCTGGAGAATGAAGCTGGAGAAGTTGTAGAGAGAACAAAGAAATGGCAGAAGAAGTAAATAGGTACTTTGTATTAGTTTCGCAATGGAAGACACCAGCAGTAAGATGACCTGTAAGTTCCCTTCCAAGACATTCACAGTCTTCACTTGGGACTTTGTCACTGTTCCTTCTGTGTTGCTGGATCAGAATCCTGGAACTCTGTTCCCAACTGCGACATGGGTCTGTCTCTACAGAAGTGGACTGCAGAGGTTCAAGAAAGCAAGTCACAGCTTCTCTCAAGCAAACATCGTTGAGCAATAATGCTGGCATGGCCAACGATGCCCACATCCCATGAACAAAAAAGTTGCATATTGGGTGGTGGCATTCTAATGGCTCCTAGCTATCACCTACAACCGTGTTATTGTGGGCAGTGTTGGATGCTGTGGAATTTGGCAAAGAGGGAGCATTGATGACTCCTGACTTTGGAGGTCAAAAGAATTCTCAGAGCAATGTGTATCTCAGTGCAGAAAGGACTAATGTTTAAACCACGGTGACCATCTCCTACTGTGTCTTTTTTATTCACTCGCGGGACATGGGCATCGCTGGCTGAGCCAGCATTTATTGCTCATCCCTGGTTTCCCTTGAGAAGGTGGTGGTGAGCTGCCTTATTAAACTTCTCCCTTTCCCTCCCCATTTCTGTAGAAGGGTCCCGACCCGAAACGTCAGCTTTACTGCTCCTCTGATGCTGCCTGGCCTGCTGTGTTCCTTCAGCTCCACACTGTGTTATCTGAGATTCCAGAATCGGCAGTCCTTACTATTTCTTCTTAAACTGTTGCAGTCCAGGTGCTGTAGGAAGACCCACAATGCTGTTCGAGAGGGAATTCCAGGATTTTGACCCAGAAACAGTGAAGGAATGGTGATATGTTATCATGTCAAGGTGGCGAGTAGCTTGGAGGGGAAAATGTAGTGGTGGTGCTCCTGTCTATCTGCTGCCCTTCTAGACAGTGATGGCTATGGTTTTGCAAGAATCTTTGGCAAATTTGTGCAATGCGTCTTGCAAATGTTACACACTACTATTACTGAGCATTGGTGGTGGAGTGACTGGATGTTGGTGGATGTGGTACAAATGAAGCAGGCTGCTTTGTCCTGGGTGGTGTGGCCATGTGAACAGGCTTTGGTGGAGTCAGGAGGTGAGCTGGTTGCTACAGTATTTCTAGCCTCTGATCTGCTTTTGTAGCCACTTCTATGGCAAGT